GTCCTCCCTTTCACCCCAGCCATGGAAGTCAGAATGCAAGGCATCTATACAGAATTCTCGACTTACGACCACAATTGAGCCCAACATTTCGTCTCAGTGGCTGAATGAGACGGTTGTTACGAGAATTGAGCCCAACATTTCTGTTGCTAACTGAGACATTAAGGGAGTTTTCTCTCATTTTAAATTAAAAAAAAAAAGATCTGAGACAGAGCTAGAATTTTTCCAATGTCATTAACAGATTTAATTTGAAATTTGAGGAATTAATCCTGGGCAGGGGTCTCCAACCTTGGCAACTTGAAGACTTGTGGACTTCAACTCCCAGAATTCTGGGAGAACTGTGGGAGTTGAAGTCCACAAGTCTTCAAGTTGCCAAGGTTGGAGACCCCAGATCTAGGGAATGCCAGCAACGTCCTGCTCCATTGTCCCAAAGGTGCTTTTTTCAAGAGGCAGCTGGACTTTGTATTTCCTTGAAGATGTTTCGCTTCTCATCTGAAGAAGCTTCTTCAGTTCTTCAGGTTCTTGGATGAGAAGCGAAACGTCTTCGAAGAAATACAAAGTCCAGCTGCCTCTTGGAAAAAACACCTTTGGGTCAACCAGGACCTCGATGGCTGAGTATCTCCACAGGCGTCCTCTTCCACTAATACATGCCACCCATTTAATGGCTGCACAGAGATTTTTGTGAGTGGCTGTTAAAAGATTTGCACCACACAAACTTGCCTTGAATTTCGTGAAATCGCTGAGTGGTACGCACTCCTCTGAGGGGTGTTCAGCAGTGGCTGCCTGCACCAGCGGGCAGACTCTTGGGAAAAACGCCGCTGCAAATCTGTGTGGAAGAGAACCACCTCAGAGCTGGTTTCCAGGCAAAGCATCCCCACAAACGGAGAGCCAACGTGACCAGAAGCAGCCAGATAACAGATAATCAGAGTTGGAAGGGACCTTTTAGGTCATCTACTCCAACTCCCCGCCCAAGCAGGAGACCCTACACCATTTCTGACAGGTGGCAGTCCAGTCTCTTCTTGAAGGTCTCAACTGATGGCGCTCCCACAACTTCTGAAGGCAACTTCTGCTCCACGGGTTGATTGTTGTGACTGTCAGAAAGTTTCTCCTTATTTCCAGGTTGAATCTCTCCTTGTTCAGTTTCCATCCATAGTTCCTTGTCTGGCCTTCAAAGATGCTTTGGAGAATAGCTTGACCCCTTCCTCCTCTCTGGGGCAGCCCCTCAGATATTAGAAGAATATTGGAAGAAATATTGGAATATTGGAAGAAAACACTGGAAGCCAACCTGCAGTTCTTCTGAGCGCGTGAGAGAAACCTGGCGGAGATGCTCAGGCGGGGATTCAGAAGCGGGCTCCCTCCATCCTCACTCTCTCCAAATGACTGCTGGTCTCTGATGCAACCGTCAAACGTCTCTGCACACAAAAAGGAAGGCAGAGAATTTGTCCGAGTGCCAATAGAAGACAATTGGTAGCTCACGGCTGAGTTGTGGGCTCCTTGGGGCTCTCTCAGCTCGGTGGTTTTCTTGAAAAAGTTTCATGACCCACCTAGGGAACATTATCAGGGGTAGAAGACAGTGGGGTTTGTGGACAGGAGGAGGAGGAGGAAGTGGAGGAGGAGGAGGAGGAGGAGGAGGAAGAGGAGGAGGAGGAGGAGGAGGAGGGGGTCCTGGGTGCTCTCTGAGCTGGGTTGTTTCCTTGCAAACGTTTCATGACCCAACTAGGGAACATCATCAGTGCTAGAAGGAGAGGAGGAGGAGGAGGAGGAGGAGGAGAACTCTGGGGTCCTTGGTGCTTTCTGAGTTTGGTGGTTTCTTGCAGACATTTCCTGACCCAACTAGGTAACATCATCAGTGCCAGAAGGGAGAGGGGTTTATGGAGAGGAGGAAGAAGAGGGTTCCTCGGTGCTCTCTGACCTTGCTGGTTTTTCTGCAGACGTTTCATTACCCTACTAAGCAACACTATCAGTGCCCATAGGGAGTGGGGTTTGCTGATGTTACCTGGTTGAGTAATGAAATGTCTAGGAGCATCTAAGAGGAAAGTTCTAGAATCTTTTTCATCTGGTTCCAGTTGCCGGCCTTGACCCTAAATTAGGTCGAATTCTCCTGAGTGCAGGCGGTAGGGAAGGAACTCGTGGTGCTTTGCAACTCTAGCAGAGACCGGCTGCCTGTTTACCTTCAAGGGGGTCACCAGCCAGCGTTTCAAAGTGGTTCTTGAGGTATCTCTCTGGCTCCGGTGTCTGGGGCAGCGACCCGTTCTGAGAGAAGTTCTCCTCCAGGTGGGCCACCTCGGCATCAGGCTCTGCCGAGAGGAAAAACAAAGGGGAGGCCCAGGTGCTGGAGGGGGGGAGGATACGGGGAGTCCTGGACTTAACGACCACAACTGGGGCCAACGTTGATTTATCTTGCTAAGCGGGGCGTCTGTCAAGCGACTTCTGACGTTTCTTCCCACAGTTGAGAAGCGAATCGCTAAGAGCTGTGAAGTGAATCATGCGGTCGCTAAGCAAATCTGACTTCTCAGAAGGTTCGCAAAAGGGGATCACGTCACGTGACACCCCCCAGGGACACTCTGACCGTCGCAAATGTGAGCCAGGTGCCAAGCGCCTGAATTTGGATCCTGCAATGCTTGTAATCCTGCCACTCAGCCCGTGAGGTCCCTCCGGGGAACTTACCTTCGTGCTGGTCCCCAGAGACAGGTAGATCAGCATCCAAGGGAGCCCCAGAGCGGATTACCTCAGGCGCCTTGTCTCTGGGGCTCAGGGCTTCTTCCTGAAAGAGAGGCTGGGGGACTGACCTTCGCAAGAGAGAGACAGAGAGAGAGAGAGAAAGGAATGAGACTGCTGGTGCTTCTCCCAGCGAGATTGGCCAAAATCTACTCAAATTTGAATCCAAAATCAGGGGGGTTCGGTTCAATTGCACAGAATGCGAAGGGGGCGTGTTTGTGTTTATTTTCATGGTCATGATGTGCGTTGAAAATGGCATTTGATTTTGTTTGGACGAGGCGCAAGGACCATAAATGTAAACTAAGCTAAAACGAAAGCAAAACCAACCTCTCCCCGAAGGAGGAGCTGCCGCCTGCTTGGGACACGTAGAGGGGGGTCCCACTGTCCTCCAGCTCCTGAGCGGTGTCCTCGTCCGAAGACAGAGTCGGTGGCTTGAAGCCTTCGGTTATGTCGCCGGGAGAATCCTCTGTCTGTGTGAAAGCGAAAGCGAAAGCGAAAACATTCTCCTCTCCCTTCCCCAGAATTCACTCCTTCGCGATTGAGAGGGCGCCGGTAAATACAGGTACAGCCCTCAACTGAACAACGGCTCGTTTAGTGACCAAAGTTACGGCGGGAAAAGGGCTTAGTTAGGACTGTTTCTCACATTTAGGACCGTCACAGCATCCCTGAGGTATTTGAGTCCAACCTCTCCCTGAAGGCAGGAGGCTTTAGGGTCTTCAAACTTGGCACGTTTAAGACGGGTGGACTTCAACTCCCAGAATTCCTCCTCCTCTCATGTTAGCTCAGGAATTCTGGGAGTTGAAGTCCACCCGTCTTAAACTTGCCAAGTTTGAATACCCTTGTGATAGATGATAGATAGATGATAGGTAGGTAGGTAAATAGGTAGGTAGGTACAGAGAGAGATATGATAGATAGATAGATAGATAGATAGATAGATAGATAGATAGATAGATAGATAGACAGACAGATAGATACAGACAGACGGATACAGATCAGGGGTCTTCAAACTTGACAGCTTTAAGACTTGTGGACTTCAACTCCCAGAATTCCTCCTCCAGTCATGTTAGCTCAGGAATTCTGGGAGTTGAAGTCCTCCAGGCTTAAAGTGGCCAAGGTTGGAGACCCCCGATCTAGCATCTGCTGCTTGAGCAAGGGGCTGGACTAGAAGACCTCCACGGTCCCTTCCAGCTCTAGATGGATCAGACAAGAGCGGGGGGGGGCGGGGTGTCACTCAGCCAAGGAGACCACATGCCCACCCCCCCACACACACACACCACCACCACCACCACCGAGAAGCACCTCCAAAACCAGCCGGTCCAGACTCGGCTGCTCCTGGTCGGCCTCGGCTGTGCTGCGGTTCTGAATCGGGGTGAAGTAGCTCAAGTCGGCCTCCAGGATGGCTTTGATGGGCTCCTTGTCGGCTCGCTCAGCCCAACGGCCCTGCGGCTGGTAGCTGACCCGGGAGTGGAAGGCGGTGCTCTCTGAATGGTCTGCTTCGCCCAGCTGGGAAGATGGAGACGGAGGGAGATGCTCGGAGACGGGGGGAGTGCAGGACACCTGGCTGGCCATGGCCCCCTGCCCCCCCCCCAGCTGGAAACCCCCCCCCCAGCAAAAATCTGCATTGGTGGAGGGCCGATTTCTCCCGGCTGGGGCCCTCCGGGTGGGCGAGACCTCTGTGCCTGCCAGGCCCCACCCCTGAAGGGCTGCAGGGGGGGTGGGGGTGGGTGGGCAAGGCCAACCGAAGCAATGAAAGAAGCAGCATGCATCTCATGGTTACAGGGAGTCCTCGACTTACAACCGTTCGTTAAGCGACCGCCTGAAGTTAGAACAGCCCTGAAAAAAGGGACCGGTGACGGCTTTCGCCCTTATAAGCGTCACCAGCCTGCCCAACGGTCACATGATCAAAATTTGGGCAGCATGCCAACCCTGGCAGAAAAAAAAAGGAGTAAAACTGGGCGTGGTTCACTTACTGACCGCTTTGCTTAGCAACTGAAATTCTGGTCTCTACTGTGGACGTAAGTCGAGGACTACCTGTTCGAGTAGCTGTGCTCTCTCCCGTCCCTGGAAGACTAGGCCTCCGTGCCCTCTAGGGGGCAGCAGCTCGGCCGTCGCCTGCCACCTACCAGTCTCTTGGCCCACATGGGCAGCTTGCCATTGGACAGGACGTAAAGAGGAGCTGGGGGAAAAGAGAGAGAGAGAGAGAGAGAGAGAGAGAGAGACAGAGAGAGAACACGTTAGGACAGATGGATGGCCAGTGAAGGTATAGAGTCTGTACAGGGAATCCCCTTTAGGTATCTAAAGATCAAAAAAACGAGTGTGGAAGTTTACGCCACTTGTCTAAGAAGCTGCGCTCCATAAGAACAAGGGGGTTGAATTCCCACCCCCACACACACACAAAAGAGAAATTTATTAAAAGAAATAACAGACTAACAAGAGTTGGAGGGCACTTCGGAGGTCCTCTAGACCAACCCCTGTTCAGGCAGGAGACCTATGCCATTCCAGACAAGCAATCGTCCATCTTTACTAAAAACGATAAGACTGCCAGTGTTCCGGTTGGGTCTGAGTATATAGGCAGCTCCGAGTAAGGTTGGGTGGTGGTTGCTTTTTTTGCAAAGTCAGAATATTCCGGACTAATAAATTCTAATAATAATAAATTATTATGGTTCATTGCACAGTCAGCCTAATGTTCAGGCTGGGTTTGGCATTTTTGTCCAAATGTTACAGAGGTCTCCAAACTTGGCCACTTTAAGAGTTGTGGACTTCAACTCCCAGAATTCTCCAGCCAGGCTGGAGAATTCTGGGAGTTG